CACTTATTGTGTAAACAGTACCCCACATATCCCAACGTTCAATTTCTATCCTGAAACTCTTCCATCACTTCCGCCATCTCCTATTCTTATCTACACATAGACTCCTAGTATCCGCCCTCATCTTCTCCCACCTTGACTATGGCTGCATATTGTATGGTGGCCTCTCATCGGAACTTAGAGACAGACTGAAAAGAATCATGAATGGCTTAATAAAATTTGTCAATAGAACCCTGAGACGTTTTTGTGTTTCTCACTACTACGCTTAGTTAGGGTGACTCTTCTCCTCCTTCAGAAGACAATATTTCCTAGGCACATTCCTTTATAAAATAATATATAATCGTCATCTGTCCTACGCATATAATCTGCTTCAATTCAAGTCATCTATCCACTTCTTCTGACTTTTATACCGCTTCTCAAAAATCTGCATCATTTCAACACTCCTTTATTGTCCGTTCAACCACTTTTTGGAATTCAATCCCACTTAAAATCTGCCATGCACCATCCTCATCCATATTTAAACTCCTCTTATTTCAATCACTCCTTACAATTCAATCAGACGCTAGGTAGTTATTAATTATGTAACAAGATTTCATTTTTCTCTATACATCATTTTATATATATTTTTTTTTTTTTTATGAGAGTTCCAATCACTTTTCACTGAGTATTGTTTTTGTTTTCTATTTATAGGATTTAATGTCTTTGAGATGTATATATTTTTTTTTCTAATATTGAACAAACTCCTCTATATGCATATTATCTTTTTTTGATTTTCTTTTGTTTTCTCCTGTCGATCTACATCTCAGTATATGGATCATATATAGGCTTTTCTAATGGTACAGGTTTTTTTTTTTTTTTCTAATGTTTACAATATCATTAAAATACTCATTTGAACATATTAAGGCACAGATTTAAATCATTTATTGTAAATATTTATCTATTTTTTTATTATACAACAATGGTTTAAAAACAAAAGTAATGTATCGTTCTTTTCTAATTTCATTTAGTTATTTTTTACTTTATTGTTTGTAACAAATATTTTGCAGCATTGTTACCTTACTGCTCATCTTTTTTCTTTAATATATCTGGATAGCTATGTAAATACTTCTCTTACTACTTATGTTTTAGTTATTCTTTTATAGTAATATGTATTTTGGCCAGACTTAATGTTAATTTTTATAATCAATATTGTTATTCTTTAGGGACATTGTCCCAGAATAAAGTTGATTCTTCTATTCTAGTAACTTTAACAACTGCAGTAAAGTACTATCTTGATAATATTTTATTATACATCCAAATAAACATGTTTTGCTGATGTCGAGAGAGATTGCTATCTAGTCTGAGTTCTCATTTGCGTATACTAGTTAAATTATACTTAGTACAACAAAAATAAAATATAATTATTTTATTTATTAATATGGATTTGAATTAACCTACTACGTTCTTATAATTAAATCATATAAATTTTTCTTTCCGATCATTAAATAATTTCACATAGAAACTGAATATTAAAAAAAATTATAATATAAACTGGCGAAAATTAAATATTCTTTAATTAATCTTCAATATTATGGTTGTAATGTTATGCTGAATGACCCAATAAACACAATTAAAGATGTTTCCGAATTTTTCTTATTTCTTATTCCGAATTCTCTCACTCTAGAAAATTTCTTTAAAAATAACTAAAGTTAACTTGTTTATAATTTCTGGTTATCAATTTATTACTTCTTTATACTTAAAAAAGATTTTGAACAACATAAACAAAAAAACATAGACACTTAAAAAATTAGTATACAATTGGTATAAACTTATATAAAGTTTAAACAAAACATATGCATATTGCTGAATTAGTATTTAATAATTGTTTCATAAAATATATCTGATGCAATATAATTATGATTAAAACAACAAAAAGATTAAATGATAATTAAGTTGCAAAATATATAATCATTTATTTTCATCACATTTTATCATTCTGATCATTGGAGTCATATTCAAATATAGGGAACTTCATTTTTATAAAAACAATAAGAGAAATACAGCACAGTTTTATCAACTAAAGAACCAAACAGCTGAAAAGACAACTAATTTTCTAATTAAGAATTAAATTTAACTCTTGTATAATTAAGTTTAATTGTTCAATTAAGACTGAGCTGTTTTCTTTCTCAACTAAAGATACATGGTAAAACATAAATTAGAAGGAAGAAAAAAATAAAATAAAAATTGGCAATACTTCATCAGGACAACTAAATATTAAATAAATAATATGATGAAACATTATTATATAAAATATTTGGTATACCAGTTAAATGATAAATCATCTAATTATATTTGTATTGCATAAAATAGCTATGAATAATAAAAATGCAGTAGCATAGAAAATCAGAAAGCCTTTAATAAAGGATTATATGTTTTACCATCATTAATGAATTTAAAAAAAATTACCACAGATTATATTTTGTTTTTAAAATGGCTTTCTTGATGAACTTCATTTTATTTGTGTAAAAAAAAAAACCTAATTGTATTTTTAGGAAATCACAATAATGAACTTCAAAAATTTCCATCCATACATGTTAAATTACCATTATACAGAAACTATCCAGAAAGACCCTCATGCTTGATGAAATGCGTACAAACCATTTCTTGAACACATTCTTCAAGACATGTTCAGTGAGGAGGCTTTTTCACTTGACTGGATGTATCAATAAGCAAAATATACTGGATCTAGCGCAACTGTGCTAACAACAGCCCCCAAGAATTTCACCAGAGCTCTTTGCATTCACCACCTGTCACCATCTATTGTGCAACTTCATCAGTTGAGATTATCGGCCCATGATTTTTTAAGGAAAATTAGCAGAATATCTCTCACTACAGACTATTGTGTGAACATGCTTGAGGAGTTTTCTTTCACAAATTAAAGAAATGGACTTAGGGGACATATGGTTTCAACAAGAAAGATCAACAGCTCATACTTCAAAGACATCGATTACTGTGCGAGATAACTTCCCAAGGCACATGATTCAAGTCATTGTGACTTCTTTTTGTTAGAATATTTGAAACTGTGTATTTATACAGACTGACTCTAGATGATCTGAAAAACACGGCCAACATACTCATCAATATGCTGGAGATAAATCTGTTTAACTAGTGAATCGACAATGAGAGATATCACTTACCAGAATGTAAACCATAACTTTGATTGCATAATTTTTGCATTAAAAAAATTAAAAACATATCCTAACTACTTTTTATTTTACTGCAATATGAAATGAGGAAGTAAGCTTGTCCCAACCTCTATTTAAAAATAAACACTGTTTTAAATATTATTAAGTAATATTTGGAACAATATTATTACTTAATAGTAGCTCTATGAGTATAGTACATAGATAATAATAGACTCACAAAAAAATAAATATCAACTGATCACTGCAGCTTTTAAAGAGTTCATTAAAGCGAATTTTGTCATTAATTGAGAAACCTGTAATGCCCCCAGAAACACCTGATCAGCAATCAGATTTACTCTTATACACAAAAAGTGCATGAAGGGTTGTTCATGCAGTAGTTTAAAACAGTAAAATTATAACAGTTTTGTGGTCCATCATATGATTAACAATCAATAAGAATGCAGTTCTTCCTCCATTTGGAACATTACTCATTTCACCATTCGCACCTTCAGAGATCTATTGTTAGATTTTTAAGTGAAAATCGGTTTATATATTTTTTACTGCATTTAATTTAATTTAGATTCATAGAATATCAGGTTTTCTGTGTTCTAAAAGGTCTTCGTAAATTTTCATAGCAAAAAATAAACAATAAAAAATAGTTCAACAGAAATAATTATGTTAGGTGGTGTGATTTTAATTCAATTTTCGGAAAAAATCATAAGTTGATGAGACTTGAAATAGAGAAAAAACAATTCATAAATATGTAATTACAGAGCCCAACTATACAACTGATTGACACTTGATCTTCGTCCACTTAGCAAAGTGGAGTGACATTTGTACAGAGATACCAAACAAGGTACTTCGTTCTGACTGTAAAATAAACAGATTTTTGTTAACCGAAACTTTAAAAAGAACACTAAATGATTAATTTTAAAAACATCAATTCTTTTACTTTTATTTAGCGACAAACTTTTTGAAAATGAAATTGTTAATTCTTTGTTAGAGTGTTTTGATATTTCTTTCGAGGACCATCCTTAATTAATGGATTTTCTCCTGGTAAGTATCCAAACGGGATTTTCAATCCGAAAGCTCCCATAAGAACTTTTTAAGTTAAAATAATTATAAAAATAACTTTTCCTTCTTTTTTTAAAACAAACTAATAAATTTTTTATTTTAGGCATAAATAATTTTGGCAATGTAATTTTTCATCTGCAAAATATTTAAGCAATAATCGAGTATGTACTCAACCAGATAATAGCTGACTAACTGCGTCTATTGAAATCAAGTCGTTGGAGTAAGAAGTATGGATTCATGATAGATCTAAATGTTTGTGCTACACAGGTCATGTTAAACTGTGATGGAAGTTGTAGTACTCAGTATCTCAGTGGCTGGTACTTTACAAGTTTTATTCCAATTGATGGGTAGGTAATTTGATATAAATGTTATTTTCAAAATCACTGATACTCAAAACACAGATAATAGTGCGGATGGTTTTCTTGTAACAATTTATCTGTTTTTAAGACAATTTCTAGCCAAATTGACAAAAGCTGTTCAAAATTATCAATTTTTACAATTACTTAAAAAGTATATTTTATCATTACGGTCGCTTTTGGAAGTAAAAGACTCATACTCACATATATGTATCACAAGAACTATAGCTTTTATTCAATTGTAAGTAATTAAATTATTGACGTTAGGTGTGTGTTGATAAATTGGGTCAATGAAGAAACATCTAACTTTTCCATGTAACTAGTAAAAAACCATAAAAAATAAATTTTTTTCACCTCAAACATTTTACACTGTATAACTAATATTTTTTTAAAGTAGAAATAACGATACCTTTATCCGAGATTTTGTGAGGAAGTGTTTTAGAAACAAGGAAACTTGGCCATATTTCAAAAGAACCGATTGAGGGAGATCTGGAAGACGATTTAGCATCATTATCACGAAAAAAACTTCTACGTTCACTGGGTGTAGGGACTTCATTATCACTCCAGGCAGCCATCACTATTTTTTGTTTATTGGAACCTAAACATGGTATTATCAGAATCGATTCATTATGCACATCAAAGAGGTATTTGAGGTAAAAACCAAAGGAAAAAAAAAACAAAACACCGTTTTACTTCATGTATTTATTTATATGAAAATGGTGAATCGACAATAGGTTAGGGTTAAAATTATTAGAAGGGTGGAGTGTAAAAAGGTAACAATATGATCAGGGAAAATTGAATTATTGCTGAGAATATAGGTGTAAAGTGCTATTTTCAATGTTCCCTTCTTCCATTCACTTTAATTCAGTGTTTGATGCATAACATAGCTATGAGTTATTTATCAACATACATAAAAAACAAAACCAGTCTCTGTTGGGAGACTGTTGCATAATAGCGAGGTTAGGACAGATCTTCAGTCACAAGTAAATGTATGTTGGATTCCGGGTAATGATAGTCAACTTCAAAATCTGGCTAAATTGGGAGGAGAATCCTGTAAGAATACATAATGAACTTACATTAAAAATGCCCATTATGATTTCATGAATTTAATGGGTAAAATGTAACAGTGCATATAACATGTAATTCTACAACAACAAAAAAAAAAGCGAAATCACCAATCGACACCAGTTCCTATTCAAAAACAGTATAATTCGAATGCTTCCTAATACTATCAAAAGCTAATAGAGATATTTTCTCATATTTTTTTCTGTAGGAGGAAAGGAGGAAGGAAAATTAAAAGTCTGAATCAAGTAGGGCTAGAGGGGTGGGTGGTCCAACAGGTCACCGAACTATTATAGCTAGAAAGGGCCAATGGGAGCGGGGTGACCAAGCAAGCTAAAGCGTCTCATAGCACCATGCATTGCCCGGCAACCTGATAAACAATATTTGAGATAAAAAGATAATTACGAGTTCAAGGGGGCTGAGTGGCCGAATGGGCTAACTCATGTGCACAGCACCGCTAGTTGTCCGGCAACCAGATGACCTTAAATATGAGATTAAAAAAAAGTACTAGTCCGGGGTGGGTGGGGAATTCCCCGCCCTCACCCTTCGGCCCGTGAAAATCCCGTATAGCCTAAAAGGCGAGGTAGGGAAGAACAGAAAAAGGAAAAGGAAAGAATTATGAGTTCAAATCTCGGTGCCGCAGGGACATTTAACTCGGTATGATTTTCCTGACCCAGGAAAAAAACCCGTGTAGCCTAAAAGACAAGGAAGGGGAGACAAAAAAATAATAAAAAGATAGAAAGGGCAAGTCGATTTGTATTAATTGGATTCAGAAATAAATTATAATCCGCCACCAGCTGACATTCAAGTCATGAAAACCTGCTTAGTTAGCATAGGTTCGGTGAACCAATTGGGAGCTTAGCTCAGTAGAAGGAAATATCAACAACGGTTCGTCTATCACTTTTCTCAACTCTCTTCGAAAGCTTTGCTTCACTGACTCGATTCTGTTTTTATGTCACATCGGGTATGATCTCGCGAATTATGAGCAAATGAATTTAGAGAGCTTCATCAAGCTTGTATTTGTTTATTATATTCGTCACCTTTCATGTTGCATAAGACTCGGTACACAGTAGCGTTTGTGTTAGCAAACGTTTCAGTTTCTATTCGGATTAGAAAACAACGACTAGTCACATTGAATTCAGGAGGAGCGGTGTCTATTTTACCTAATTAACGTATTTCAGTATATATATATATATATACGTTAATTAGGTAAAATAGACACCGCTCCTCCTTAATTCAATGTGACTAGTCGTTGTCTTCTATATATATATATATATATATATATATATATATATATATATATATATATATATATATATATATATATATATATATATATATATATATGTATATGTATATATATATATATATATATATATATATATCCCTAGTAATTAATCCTATTTACTAATTAAAATAAACAAAATGATACAATAATACACTTATTTGTATTATCGTATTGCGTCGCTTGTCATATACCACTCTTCGAATCCTCAATTGTGTAATTGGATCAACTGCCCCCCAAGACTAACTTCAAGATTGCCGCCCCTCCCATAATTCCATTTTATAAGCTTTTCAATTACCCTATCCCTCCATCTTTTGTCCTAAGTTAAACGTCAATTGGACAAGAGATGTTACTGAGTTAGATCTGTGTTTACACTACTTTAAACAATAAACAAAGTAGCATGTAGGCACCATACATAAAAAAAAAAAAATTCAGTGTGTGCTTAACATCACACGATAGAAGTGAAAACACCAACAAGACGAGATTAATAATATGAAATATAAAACATTTTTTGTTCTTGATTCCCAAAGTGATAATATCTACATTGTACAAAATACAATTTTTGATAATAGCCAAAAATATTTGGTTTATATAAACAAAGTAATAAGATTTACAATATATACAATATAATTGTGTATAAATTGCTTTGCTCTCACTGATCGTCATTTAAATCATACTCTGAAAATGAAACAGTGGGCTTATGATGACTAAAATATGCCATCAATACTTTTAATTTAAATCTTTTTGCTAAATATTTAAGAAAAATCCGCCAATCGATGTTCCATATTTTGTTATGATTTTTAATTCCGCATTGTTGATGTTTTCACTTCGATGTTGTGGTTTTAAGCACATACCTTAGTTTTTTTATTCTTATTTTTACGGCGAATTAAAAAAATATCTAAATTGACTTCCACAAATTGGTTTCTTAATTCTCCATAGTATTTAAATTTTGTGATATTTTAGTCCAAATGTTTAAAACTATCATTATTATTTGGTTTCTTGGCGCTATCTTTTTCCCTTTCAGACTCTCTAACTCGGTTTCATATCACGACGCAATTTTTATAACTCATTACAAAGAGGATGAAATACTCAACATCTGCCTCGCTTACAGTACGCAGTTCGCACTTTTGTTTCTGAGATATTTTGATCTAAATGCAAAAACATTTCAATTAGTCGACTTTATCCGAATGAGCATTATATATACGAAAACTGCTAATCGTGCTTACAGAAGTTTTCACTCTAACAATTCAGAAGTCAAAGGTAAAAATGATGGAAGACTGACGACGTCTATATTATTTTATTTTTCCTCCTTTTTTTTTTTTAATTTTACGTATCTTGACACCAAAACTTGTGAGAGAAAATATTCTCTCCGTCAATTATAAAAAATCATTCTAGAAAATAATCCAAATACGGTTACTAATACGAAAAATATTTTGATTAATATAATAATATAATAATAATAATAAATTTATTTATTGAGCAATTTTACAAATGCCTTTTGGCATATTTTGTAAATGTGATGTTCGTTAGCGAACCTCCTCTCCAAGATTAGCTTGAATGCGTGATTGGAGAAACCTCCCAGTGAAGGCACTCCTAACGTGACTCTTAATGCAGCACACGGGCGGATCAACGGGGTGGGGGGCTTTCGGGCTGAAGCCCCCCTCCCAAAATGGTAAAATATAACCACGTTTTATCGAAAAAAATATTTAAAAAGTAACTCTTAAAGTATTATTGTTCGTGTAATTACATTTAAAAGGGCTTTAGGAATCATTTAAACACCATTCCATATAGGTAGTTAGTTTCTTTCTTTTTTTCCAAAGTAATTATCGTTATTTTTATGAAAAAAAAACTTTCGGGCTGAAGCCCCCCCCCAAAAATAAATCCTGGATCCGCTAGTGTTGCAGCAGATCCCTGCTCCAGAGGCGTTTGAGTCTCCTTGTTTGATTAATATGGATAGAAAATCCAAATCTTCATTCATTTTAATTATAACCTAATTTAACCTTTCTGAGAAAAATCATTTAAGAATTATGGTTATCAATTGACAATTAAAATTAATACGCCCCGGAGACGTTAAGTTTGATGCAAATTATAATTGTGTATATATATTGTATATATATTGTGTATATATATGTGTATCTAATATAAAGTTTTGAAAAAACAATGCGTTGCATATGTTCAAATTAAGAAATTTGCGAGCTTTTTTATGGTTTATTTATCCATAAAATTGTCTAAGACTTCTTTCCACAAAAAAAAAAATGTGAAAAATGTCATTGTTCCAAAGAAAAATTACCTTTTAGAGGAATCGTTTGTTCATTTGTTTTTTATTTTTGATAAGTCTTTTTAAGACATCAACTAAAGCAATCGGCATTGTTGTCTATATTTATTAGCAAATAATTTATGATGAAAGATTATTTGGATTAAAAAGATTTATACCAATATTAGGAATCACATTATATTTATTTTCCTCTATTAGACAAGGAATGTTGTATTACATTTGATATATATCCGTATGGAAATAACAAACCGTTATGTAATAATTCGCAGGAATTCTTTATTTATTTACTTTTTTTTTAAATTTTGCTATCTCGAAATGTATCACTGCGGATAGTATTATGAAATACCGGTAGGTTTACGAACCTCACTGACCACCTTAAATATGGTCAAGATTCTGTGTTAAGGCCTCAACTGATTTTCGAAATGACATTAACCTGTTTGTTATTGATGCTGTGGGTGTCACAAGAGTTGGCGAACGACCAGCGAACAATATTCAGTCCAGAGAGCTGGTCCATGCTGACCTCGTGTTTCGTAACGTTGAGACCGGAATTCATCGAGTTGTCTAATTGTACTTATCCAAATGAGACGAAGGACTTCTTATTTTCGCTGTGAGGAAATACCAATTACGAAAACAAATCATGTGGAAAATATGAGTAAGCAATTAGAAATTTCTACTTCGTAATTTATGCATGGTAAGAGCGAACGGTTGGATAACTACTTATGCTAAAAATGACTTTAAAGTTTCATTTATTTTATTTTTGCAATAACCGCTTTTTATAGGAAAAGCGAAAAACAGTTATCCTCAATCTCTAGATAATGTGGCTCACCTTCTCGAATTTGAGTTTTTTTTTTTTGGTTTTTTTAATTCAGGTCAATATGCGCAATATAGATGGGAATTTTACATCAAATATTTGCAATATTCTCAACCTTACTGCCGCTGGTCATCGGATGAGCATGCAATACGACAGGGAATCCTAGGTTCATTTTATAAACTTCCTAC